CAGTCCTTACTCAACCTTGGGTTCCCTATCACCAGCTTTCTGGTCCCCTTCTGCGGCTAGGAATTTTTTGATACTATTTATCTTTTCTTCAATGTATGTTTCTGAGAGCAATTATCTTCAGTTTACAAATAAGGAAACTGGGTATTTTATTGGTGTTTTTGCAGCCCTTTGGTGTCTTCATCTTTAGAACATAAAGTTCTCTAACACATTAATATGATATATTGGAAAGAACCTTTAGGGACTTATCCTGCTCTTCTACTGAATAACAAAGGGATTTGGGGCAACTCCTTTAACATCTCAATTTCTACATTCTGAAAAATGAGGGTTCTGGTTTCTTAAAATTTTGTGATTCTATTTATTTTAGGAATGATTGGGGGTGCCTAACAAGGAAAACACTCATGGGATTTCCCAACATATAAGAGGTTGAGAATCACTAATAACATGCCATTAATTAAAAAAAAAAAAAAAGACATGTTTTACAATTTATAATGACCATTTTGGTCATTCCATTATTTTCAGATGTACTTATGTTTTTATCATGGTTGTAGACTATTTTTTGGATTAAGTACCCATAGTTTCTTCTTCTTTCTCCCAAAATAGAACTGTAAATAGTTTCTCTTGGCTATATTTTCCTTACTTTGTACAGTAGTTGTTTTTTTGAAGCATATATAAATTATGGTTTGGTTTTGATAAGCAGTCATTTAAAATGGATTAGCACTTATGTATACTTCCCTTTATCTAATCATTTCTCATTTGATCTTTTATCTTTTTTTTTTAACCACATGATGTATCTTAACAAAACTAAGTTTTGCTGAACAATATCTTTTGCATTTTACAAATTACAAGGAGAATATTATTTCATACATACTATGTTTATTTGTAAGGTGAATTTATGAGGCTTATTTATTGTTTTTATATTGGTGAAAGTGGGTTTCATACAGTGATACCATGGAATAATTTTTAGATTTTTCTCTCTTAACCTCCATGGAACCAAGAGTGTAATAAGCAGAATGATAATGGGAAAGGCTGATGGCTAGAAGGCAAGTGCCATCTCTGTCTTGAATTTAACTAACATCATAGAACCACCTGTAAAAAAGGCTTTCCCTCAAGTAATTTTACCTTAATAATTCTAAGAAAGAACAATCATAGGAAATTGTAATATGACTGATACAGAATTCTTCATGCAAAATTGACAGTTAATCTAGCACTGCGTTATTACTTGGACCTGCAGGAGTTTAGGAGCTATTATAGTGATTTAAAAAGTCCACACATATCATATAGGAGTATTGAGATGTTTGTTTTTCCAAGTCAAAAAGGTATAGTCCCATGCAAGTGCTAGGCTTAAATTGAGACAGAATCCAGAGACACAGTTACCAGTTGTCTGAGTTTAATGGGAGTTTTACCCAGTGTTGTGCTTAGGCCAATAGCAAAACATAGGCACTAAAAATAATAAGAAAAGCTCCATCTTCAATGAATTTAACCAGAATTGGTAGTGAGAACATCTAGAAAAAGCAATTTAAAATTCAGCAAATTTGTAGGTTTTTTTAAATCAATGTGAAAAATAAACTTATTTTGTATTGAATTTGGTGAGAAGCTACCAACAATCATTTTAGTGTTCTAGACATCCGGAAGTCTTAATCCGACCTATCTTGAGTTTACCCTACTCTGATATGATAATGGAGGATAGTACAGTGAATTCAGTATAGTTTTGATGCACTTCACATGGTAAGGTCATGTGAACAACCTGCCATCAGTAAAGAATACACTTAAGTGAAGAATTCTTTTTCTGTGCATGTACTGATCCATTCACTGTCTTACCCAAACCCCTAATTAACAAAGGTAAGCATTTGTGAGATGGTTGGCTGGAGTAAGGGTTACAATAGTCATGGAAAAACAAAAACTCCTGGTTCACATGAGTATCTCTATCAAATCCTTGATCTCAGCTTCAGCATCAGAATGTTTCAACCAGCTGATTTTCCTCCTCCCCCTTACCAACACCACACCTAGTCTACTTGTTTTGCCCCTCCTATTCAGTGAAAATTATTTCCAAGCAAGGACTCTGTTGACCTTTTTTTTTTTTTCCTTTCTTTTGTTTTACTCTTTTCCTCTTGTTCCCTTCTCCCAGGGTCACCATGCTGAAACTGTGTTCAACCGGGTTTTGCCAGGGCCTGTTGCACCAGAGAGCAGCAAGAAGCGGTCCCGTAGGATGCAACCAGACCTTTCTAAGATGATGGCCCTGATGCAGGGTGGAGGCCCTGGGTCCCTATCTCTGCATAACACCTTCCAACACAGTAGTAGTGGCCTGCAGTCTGTGTCATCTCTGGGTCACAGCAGTGCTACTTCTGCATCTTTGCCTTTTATGCCGTTCGTGATGGGTGGTGCAGCATCATCCCCTCATGTAGACTCCAGCACCATGCTTCATCACCACCACCCCCACCCCCACCCCCACCATCACCACCATCATCATCCAGGCTTGAGAGCCACTGGCTACCCTTCTTCACCAGCTACTACCACCTCTGGCACTGCCTTGCGGTTGCCACCACTGCAACCTGAGGAGGACGATGAGGATGAGGATGAGGATGATGATGATGATTTATCTCAGGGCTATGATAGCTCAGAAAGGGACTTCTCACTCATTGATGATCCTATGATGCCAGCCAACTCAGACTCCAGTGAAGATGCTGATGATTGAAGCCCCAGCGTTGTCCCCATTGCTTGGGTGGCTCCTGTGTTTTCATTTACTCTGGCCCTTGGACTATGGAAAAGTGGAAAGGGCAGGGGAGATTTGGGGAGACCCAGGACTCCAGGAGGTGGAAAGGAAAAAAAAAAAAAACTTGTACCTGATTGCTCCCAGATCTGAGAGGATTGGGTGGGCAGGGGAACTCCTAAAGTTAATACACGACCACTTCCTCATTTCTGGGGAAGGAAAGGAGACTAGAGCAACTGGTGCGCTCACCCCTCCCTAGACACCTCCATTAACCACAGACTATGTAGCGTTGGCCCTAGCCTCTGGCAGAGCCTGTTCCTGGCCGAACTGTGGATACAGCTGGAGGGTCAGGAACTGTTACCTTCCTTCCCCTTGGCATTAATAAATTTAAGTTAATCCTTTTCCACTCTTCCCTTTTATATTTACTCAAACCCAATATAAATATTAATTCTAAAAATCAATGTTCATGGTGGGTAATTACCGTTTTCCTAAAGATCTAATACTGTTCGTACTAGTTACCTTGGTTAGGGCAGACAAGTCATCTGTACTCTGAAGGATATATATAAATGTAGGATGTCCACCCTGCTAAAAGCAAGGGAATGATTAAATTGTTAAAGATTAAATTGTAAGCAAAAATGTCCCAGATTCAAACTCCCAAGTTCTTAGAGGATATTCTCGAGAAGGAAGAATTTCATCAAAAACCACAAATATTTTGTTTCAAATTAACTGAAATAACGGTGCATTTTGGGAAGCCTTAAGAATGGTGTTACTTTTCATGAACTGTGCGCGGCAAGGGAACTGGCTGACTGGAACGACACTGTCACGACTTGGAATGGGGAGGAGGGTCGTGAGAAGGAACGGATAAAAAGTTTGTGGACCCTGTCAGGCACTTGTTTCCCACTACCCTCCTACCATTCCAGTGCCTAGATGAAGCCCGGGTGCTATTTTTACGGCGAAGTCCTTTGCCCATAGCTTGGGAAGTAGTTTCTCGGGAAAGCAAGCTCCGTCTCCCGGGTTTGAGCGTTGTGTACCCGCGCGGAGCCCTGGGCCAGCGTCCAGGCATCCAGTATTCTTCCAAACCCGAAGCAGCAGAAGCTTTCGCTTTCCCACCATTTGTAGGTTACGCTGTAGTCTTCCCACTCCACATCCCGCTCTTCCTACTTCTTTCTCTGGCCCATAGGGTGGGGCCATTATGTCCGCGCGTAGCAGTCCGACTCGGGCGGCGCTGGAGCGTCAAGCCTCCCGCCTCCGCAAACCCCAGCGGCCGCTTCCGAGGCGAAAAGTCGGCGCTCCTGTAAACCACCGCAGGACTGAGACTAAGGGCGGGGCATAGCGTCACGTGATGACGTCGACTTGCGCGGGGCTGTGGCGACGTTGATAAAACCCCGCGAAAAACTTGACCTTTTTTGGCGTTGCATGTTTTGTTGATTTCATTCGTCTTTTTCTTTCTTTCCTTCCCCCCAACCTCTTACAGCTGAATTTAAAAAAATTTTTAAAAAAACACCCTGTGGGGACCCGGAAGCGGAAAGGGTATTTTTGAGGTCGGTACTTCCGGGTCACTGGGGGAGTGCGGGATTCCGGGGCCGAGAGCGGGTGGTGGAGCCGGGACCTCGCGTGATTCTCGGAACCCGAGGAGGAGCGGCGTCTGGGGCTATGGCTGTGACTCTGGACAAAGACGCTTATTACCGGCGAGTGAAGAGACTGTATAGCAACTGGCGGGTGAGGAAGATCCCGTAATTTTTCCTGGGGAGCCCCCCCTCCACCATCCCATAATAACCCTGTTTTTGGGCGCCCTTTTTTCCCTTTCCATCGGGAATTCCCGGGTTCACTGTCGTGTCCTTTTCGTTTCTCCTAATCCTTCACCGCAGGCGGCTACGAGTGCTGCCTGGTAACAGGGACTCCCCCGCAATCGCCCTGCCCTGCGGCCACCACCATCTTCCCCGCGTGCAGGCCCCCGTCATGCATAACACCCACCTCTCGCAGTTTCTTCCCGCCCTAGAAGAGGCATCATCCTTTCCTCCCACTCCGTGATCACGTCTTGCTGCCCCCTCCTGCAGTGTTCACACACACCCACGCACTCGCGCTGCCCTTTCAGAACCACAGTATTCCGCCCCAGGGCCCGCCAGAATTATAATCATCTTCAGAAAGAAGGGGTAGAGTGGCAAGGAGGATGTGAGTTGGGCTGTTGATGTTTATCGTTTGCGGGGCTGTTGCTGGAGTTAAAAGAAATACTGCTCACGCGCAATCACCTCCTGTTCTAGGCCCTGCCGTGGGAAATACAGACCTAATGCTGAAAACTTGCAGGCATTAGTGATACAAAAAAACGATGTGCTGCCTAAAACCTCCTTGGTAGGGTATCCGTGCACGTGTTCACAAAAAGAGCTGTTGCAGTTCCCAGCCTTTTAAAGATGGGGCTATTTTGCTGCTTCAAAACGTCCATAGTTAAAATTCCTATTTGTGATAGTAATTGATCAACAAATGCTGGGTTGCGTTCTGTGGTGCAGCCTGAGCTGTCCAGCTTAAGTCTGGCCTCTGTGTCCCCTGTCACCCCGGGAAGAAATAACTAATACTTTTTTTTAAACTTGAAAAAACGACCCGACAAAAATTATCAGTTCTGATTTCAGCGTTGTAAATTACCTTTCAAATTAATTCTATACTGAAAACCAAGTTATTAAAATTGTATCGTTTCCCTGCCACTCATATTAAAGGTGCCTGTACATATTTCATCTTTCGAGGTTATTAGATAATTGAAAATAAAATGGATTCTCTGTTGCATTTTATGAAAGCGAGAATAAGAGTTCTATGGTAGATGAATGCTGGACATGTTATTTTTAAAATTTTTATTGGTTAATATCTGCCACATGTTTTTACAGCTTGTTTATCACGTATTTATACTTGAATGTGATCTATGTTACAAAGGTCTTTTAAAAGCATGATTTTTCTAAAGATTAGTAAATACTAGTGTGCTGTTAAAGTCAGAAGTCCTCTCCTCCACTTATGCCAAAGCAAAAAAAAACCAATTGCACTGCCCTCCAGTTAATTCCGACTCATAGTGACACTACAGGACAGAGTAGAACTGCCCCCATAGGATTTCCAAGGCTGTAAATCTTTACAGAAGCAGACTGCCACATCTTTCTGCTGTGAAGTGGCTGGAGGGTTCAAACTGCAGACCTTTTGTTTAGCAGCTGAGCACTTTAATTACTGTGCTACCAGGGCCCATCTTCCATTCATAGTCCCCAAAATTATGTACTTTTGATATGGAAGTTGTTTCTAGCCCTGGTGATTCAGAGTTTAATCAATTGATTCTTCATTCTCTCTAAACCATTCATGAAAACTAAGATTAATTTAGAGCTCAAAGTACTCCTCTGTGAATAGGTAAATTCAAAGCATGAAACCAGCCTGTGTAGGAAAAACAGGCCTGCAAACAGATGGGTGGACTTACCAAATGACAGTGTTTAAATCCACTGGGGGAAACAGAAGTTAAGTTACTGGCTTTCACTTCTCCTCCTACTACCCATTTTTTGTTTGTTTCTCAAAAATCATTAAAATTTATGGCCCTCTTATTTAACTTAATGACATCATTGGGGGGATGTTAGATATTGGTAAGTTATGAGTCAAGCCTATGTAAAAATTGCCAGTTAGCAAAATTTGTGGCTGCTTATTATCAAAGTCTTCTTTGAATAGACTTTCTACTTTTTTATAGCTGTACGTTTTAATAAATAAGCCAGCAACCCACCTGTAGAATTTCTTTTCAGGGTACAGTACTTTTATTCTGATGTGCTTCAGCAAAGATCATAGTTTTCTTGGGATAAATTTTGATTGCTTAGCTATCCTCTAAGCTGTAACAGAATGATAGTGGAATATATAAGTGCATTCTAAACTTTTTTTTCCTTTACGTCTTTTTTATTTCTGAATAAGAAACCACTACCATTTGCAATTCAGTCAATTACTATTTATGGTGACCTCATATGTGTCGGAGTAGAACTGTGCCCCAGAGAATTTTCAGTGGTTATTTTTCAGCAGTGCATCTCCAGGCCTCTCTTTCGGGTCACCTCCAGGTGGACTCAAACCTCCAGCCTTTCGATTAACAGCCAGGCAGTTAAATGTTTACACCACCAGGGACTCCAGTAAGGAAACTGGGATTGAAATATGATAACTTGAAGTTAGTTGTATAAATCCCAAGCCTCGTGTTGTCAGCTCACGTCTCCAAAGAAGTCTGTTATGACTTTAAAAGTGAACTGGTTTGGACTCCACATACACTTTTTATTTTTGGATACCCTTCAGCATAAGTCCTTCAAAACTGTGAGGTTGATCCTGGTATCTTTTCAACTCTTTCTTCATCTACATAGAGTTGTAGAGAACTGATAAGCTATTAAACCCTCCCCCCTTTTTTAAAAAAATAAGAGTAGGAACTAATGTGACTTCTAATTTCACTTATCTACAAGTTGAGCTTGGGTTAGATGTAAATTGTGGGGCTAATTTGGTAAAACATTTCTTAATTACAATTTCTCATAATTTATGTCCTAAAAATGATGGTAATACCACACAGCTATTTGAGTAGAAAGTTATAAAAACATTAAGCTCAGATTTGATAGTTTTATTATAGAGGTGAGAAGATGGGCTCAGTCAAAAATCAAACAGGAGACCTCTTTAGTGACTAGAACTTCTCAGATGTTTGAGTCTGGTCCATTCCTGCCCCCTATTTAAGTTAGAGCTGCTAAGAGCAGAAAGGGTTTGCAGCACCTCTCTCATTTCTGCATTGGAAAAGCACGGGGGTTAGTGGTGGGTCATAGGAATGGGCTGTGAGCTTCTCCTCTGTCCTTTTGTACTCACTGGGTCCTTTTTTTTAATTGTGAAAATATACACATCAAAACATTCAGCAGCACAACTTACACATTTACAATTCAATGACATTGATTGCATTTTTCAGATCATGCCACCATTAATGCTATACTTTTCCAAAATACTCCACCACCGTTAACATAAATGCAGTGCCTCCTCTCCCAAACAAAAAACTCCCTCTTTCCCTCTCCCACCCTACTGCTGGTAACCATTAATAATCTTTGGTTTCTGTATATTTGTTTATTTCATATAAGTGAGAGAATACCATATTTTTCTTTTTGTTACTGACTTATTTCGCTCAGCATAATGTTTTCAAGCTTCATCCATGTTGTGGCATGCACCAGAACTTCATTTTTCTTTATGGCTGCGTAATACTGCATTGTATGGATAAACCACATTTTGTTTATCCATTCATTTGTTGATGGACATTTTAGTTGTTTCTACTTTTTGGCTATTATGAATAGTGCTACAATGAACATTGGTCTACAAGTTTCTGTTTGTGTTCCTGCCTTCACTTTTTCTGGGTATGTATCTAGTATTGGGGTTGCTGAGTCATCTG